ACATGTGCAAATCAGCAGAGGCACTTCGAAAGGAGGAGGCTGATGCCAATCCTGAAGTTGATGCGGTTAAAGTAGTAGCAGGTCGAAAGAGAAGCCATCAGCAAATGGAGGCACCAACTGGAGAGTCAGCCAGGGGTGCGGGTAGAGGCCACAGGGGTGCCCCTAGAGGCCACTGTAGGCCATACCAGAGAGGAGGCTTCGGCAGAGGTTTCTTCGGACACCGAGGTGACTTTCACCGAGGTGGTCCTCCCAGAGGCGGTCCTCAGAGAGGTGGATTTCCTTACCACAGAGGTGGCTATCATCCATTTGACTACAATAATTTCTATCCCAGAGGTGGCTATCACCAAGGGAACTTCAGGGGTGCCTATATGGGATATCCCCAAGGGCCCTTTAATTGTACAAAATGCCTAACCAGACATGGCCCTAGAAAGTGCCCTGCATATGGTAAAGAATGTCATAACTGTGGCAAACCAAATCATTATGAAAAAGCTTGTGAATTAGGTCAGGGAAGTGGTGCTAAAAAACCCAGAGTAGAGACTGTACACAAAGTGGTTGAAGTCATCAAAGTAGTGAAATCTCCTTATATTGTGGATAACTTTGACATCAGTCCTCAAGATGAGGCAAATCTTCTGAAGGAGACGAATCCATCAGTTGACATGGTCACCATGGTTGAAGACACCGACGTCAGAGGGCTCCGGGAGTACACGGAAACTCTGAAACTGCAAGGTAAACATTTTGTTAATTTCAAGCTTGATTGTGGTTCAGAAGCGAATGTTATACCCTTAGATGTTTACCGTCATCTCAATGCTCAGAATGAGTTCCCTCTCACTAGTAGTCCTTTAGAATTAGAAGCGTTTAATCAAACTACATCTACAGTTGAAGGTGTCTTTGTGGCCCTTACTGAGACGAAGCATGGTGCAGCCATGGAAGTAGAGTACACAGTGACTAAAATATGCAAAAGACCTATTCTAGGTATACAACCATGTTATGCCTTAAATTTGGTCAGACGTGTGTCACATTCTGTGGACGCAGCCCAGGTTGGTCTTGGGCCTGCCTCCAAGGAAGAATTTGTCAAAGCAAACAGTGATGTGTTTGAGGGGCTAGGGCAGTTCAAGCAGACCATACGTCTGGAAGTTGACAATAGTATTCCTGCAGGGATGTGCCCGCCCAGGAGATACAGTGTACCCATTGCTGATAGACTGAAGGTCAAATTGAATTCATTGGTAGAGCAAGGAGTAGTTGAAAAAGTCAAAGGCCCAATGCCCAGATTTATAAGTAATCTGGTATTTGGTAATCTGGTAGTTCTCTAATAGATGGGTATGTGATCTCCTCAAAACTAATAGGAGAGGCAAGAAAATCAAAGCTAGTGACATTGGCTTTGAAGGTGGTGACCAGCTGATATACATCAACCCCAGTCTCTCGAAGGCAAGGAGCTACCTGGCCATGAAAGCCCGCCTTGAATTTAAGAGAAAAGGGTGCTCTGTCCTTGTCGATGATGGGGGCAACATCTGGATCAGAAGATATTATGAAGACCAAGCCGAAGCACGCAGTCATAGGAACGACAAGTACAAGATCAATTCCGAGGAAGATTTCATACCTGTGCTGAGGAAACTCAAACTTCTTTAGACTCAGATGGAAGTAATGAACTATGAACCCAAGTCTCTGATGGGACTGGGTGTGCTTTCTACCTGTGATTTAAACCTTTTCTATCTTAATGTAAGGAGTATTAGGGCGGTGCATAAATTTGATAAAATTAAAGAATCTATTGATAGCCTAGTCAATGTACATATTATTTGCTTAGTGGAAACCTGGCTTCAGGATAATGACTCTAATTTTTTTGAGATCAATGGCTTTAAAGCTTTTCATAATATGAGGAAGAATGGCAGAGGAGGAGGCATCTCAATCTATCTAAGAGAGGATACGAGGCTGCTGAGCTGTGAGATGATGGGTGAGTCCATACAATTTAGTTTGATTAAGATCTGTGTTGCTATGAAATCTGTGAACCTACTGGTTGCTTATAATCCCTCCATATTATGTGCTCCTGAGTGTTTAGATATGCTAGACCCCATTCTGAATAAGATTGGCAATGAAACATGTCTTATGCTGGGCGACTTCAATATTGATGTCAGTAAAAATAGTGTCCAAAGTGATGCCTATTTAAATTTTCTTGCTGGCAAGAATTTCTCGGTCCTAAATAACCAGATAACACGACTAGTGAGTGGCACTGTCATAGACCATGTGATTTCTAACGCCCATAAAGGCTCCATGGCCATACATACTATCGAAAATGATCTCAGTGATCATAATGCCATTGTCGTGTCAGTAAGGTATGCGCCAGCAATAGATAAGGCTACCAATGAGCCTACCTTTTTTCAGAAAACTGATTACAATAAAGTTAGGCTGAAGCTTGAGCTTAGTCTACCAGACTACTTAAAATTCAATGATGCCGAGGAACTCTCTGAGCATCTGCATAAATCCATACAAAAGGCACTAAAGGAATCTAAGACAGAGTTCTGTGTAAATAATTCTTTTAAAAAGCTTAATCCATGGGCTACTAGAGAACTTGCAGATATATCCCTGACCAAGCAAACACTATTTAAGAAACTAAAAAAACATCCTGGTAATCAAATTTTCAGGCTGGAATATAAGAATATATGTACTAAAATGAATGAACTAAGGAAAAAATTGAAATCTGAATATGTTGGTGACAGGCTTAGTAACTGCATTAATAAAAAGAAGTCAATCTGGTCAGTGCTAAAAGAAGTTTCAGGGGCTGCTCAGAATAATAAGACCACTCAAATCTTCAAACTTGTCAAAGATGGGCAGGAGTATGTGAGCCAAACTGAAATTGCTCAAGCTCTTAACGAATTCTATATTTCAATTGGCCCAACACTGTCCGCTGTTCTGGACATGGAGACCAGCCTTATTACCCCTCAGATACATGACTCAAAATTTATGCTCTCAGAGGTCAATGAGGATGAAATAAGCTCAATCATAAGCAGCCTCAGTAACAAGTCTTCTAGCCCGAATGGGATAAGCAACAAGTGCATGAAAGAAATCTCTGCTGCTGTGACCCCGGCTCTGACAAGGCTTATCAATTTATCCTATGAACAAGGGGTATGCACCTCTCATCTCAAAGTAACAGAAGTCAAGCCAATCTATAAATCAGGAGACACGACTGATCCGGGTAACTATAGACCTATATCAATTCTATCAGGGATATCCCGAGTGGAAGAGAAAGCTACCAAAGTAAGACTTGAGCAGTATCTGAAGGACATTGATTTTTTCTACAAGTTCCAGTATGGTTTTAAAAATGACAAGGAAGCCCATGGTGCAGTCTTTGATCTTGTAACTAACATACAACTAGAGCTGGATAATGGTAATTATACATGTGCTGTTTTTGTTGACCTGAAGAAGGCCTTTGATACTGTTAACCACTGCATATTGATACAAAAGCTGCATGACATAGGTATCAAAGGCAAGGCACTGGAATGGTTCCAATCATACTTGACTAATAGGACCCAGTTTGTACGTCTTGGTGACGAGGTCAGCTCATGCAAATGCATATTGTGTGGGGTACCCCAGGGCTCCATTCTGGGACCCCTCTTGTTTATAATCTATATCAACGATATTGGACTTCTGAATCTGAGGGGTGAATTACAATTGTACGCTGATGATGCGGTACTATACCTGTCATCGAAGGAACTTAGCCTACTAGAATCCTATATCAATGAAGATCTTGCCCTTCTGAATAATTGGTTCCTTGCCAACAAACTATCTCTCAATCTGAAGAAAACTAATTATGTTTTATTTTCTAAACCTTCCATGCTGAATGCTACCTTAAATATCAAGATTGGCAATGTTCCTATTGATAAAGTAAATGAAGTCAAATATCTGGGAGTGCACCTGGACAGACTCCTAAACTTTGAAACCCATGTGAACAAGCTACTGCCGTCACTAAGGACTGCTAATAGATTGATATATAGACTTAGAGGAACCGTGCCTTATAACCAGTTGAAAATTCTATACTATGCCTACTTTCATTCTCATATGTCCTACATGTGCTCCATTTGGGGCCTGGCCAATCAACTGATCATTAACAAAGTAAGAGTACTCCAGAACAATGCCATGAGAAATCTCCTAAATTTTCCTTTTTCGGTTAAGCAGCTTTATTGCAGAACTGGTATCTTGCCTCTAAACACTTTGATTGACGTCCAACTGGTCACTATTGTGTACAAACATTTGCATAATGTCAAAAGTATCAATTCCAGTGTCATACCCAATTTTAACGTGCACAACCACATGACAAGGCACATTTCAAATCTCCAGCTCCCAAAGGTCAGATCGACATACTATGGGCTAAAAACTCCTTACTATAAAGCCATTAAGGTCTACAATAGCATTCCCGTACACCTAAAGGTAAATTATGGGACCTCCTTTAAAGATAAATTAAAAGCCTATCTTTTCAGCCGGTTTGCCAATTCTTAGTGCCATTCTTCCTCGGTATCAGCTGTGATCTAGTTGTCCTGTTCTAATCTGTATTTTAATTTGTTTATGCTTCAGTCTTTGTTAATTTCTTTAAATCTTTCTCTTTGTTATTAACTGTATATTTTTTGTAAATTTTTTGTTTTTCTGAGCACCTTGCCACCGTTACAAACGTGTAAAGTCCACAACAGGGTTCGCCCTAAGGACATGTACTTTACTCGAAATAAAATAAAAAAAAAAAAGAGAGAAGAAAAACGGAGACCTGAGGCTATGCCTGGATCCGCAAATGTTGAACAAAGCTCTGATTAAACAGAAATATCCCATCCCAACAATAGATGAGATCTCGTGTAAAGTCAGGGACAAGAGTGTCTTCACAGTGCTCGATCTTAAGGATGGATTTTGGCATGCCTCATTGGATGCTGAGTCCAGTCTTCTGTGTTCTTTTGCTACACCATTCGGTATCTATAAATTCAATAAATTACCTTTTGGAATCAGTAGTGCACCGGAGCTGTTCCAGTACTTAACGGATCAGGTTTTCGGGGAGACAGGGGGCATCGTGTACTTTGATGACATCCTCATTCCCGGAAAAGATCTAGTTGAACATGATCTGATTATGGGCAGGGTGCTGGAAAAGGCCCGGTCTGAAAATGTAAAGTTTAATCCAAATAAGATTCAGTATAGAAAATCAGAAGTCATGTTCTTGGGCCTATTATGGGCCAAGAACCAGATTAGAATAGATCCTGAACGGACGAGAGCAATCCAGGCGCTGAAGGCACCTAAAACTAGACATATGCTGCAGAAAGTGGTAGGCACATTCAACCATCTGAGGAAATTCATTCCTCAAATGGGCTCCATTTCTGCCCCATTATGTGAACTACTGTCATCTGCAGTGACCTTTCATTGGTTGCCTGTACATGAAGAAGCGTTCCAAAAGTTAAAAGACTGTGTGAGTAATGCTCCCGTGTTGGTGCCATTTGACCACACAAAGCCTCTCACAGTTCAAGCTGACGCCAGTCAAGACGGCCTGGGAGCAGTGTTGCTTCAGGATGGTAAATTAGTAGCTTGTGCATCTCGTAAGCTAACAGAGTATGAGTGCAATTATGCTCAAATTGAGAAGGAAATGGTGGGTCTATACTTTGGGGCTGACAGATTTAAACCTTTTATTTATGGTATGCCCAATGTCAAATTTCAAACAGACCACCAGCCTTTAGTTTCAATTTTCAAGAAACCCATCCATAAAATCACTAATAACAGGCTAAAGAAACTACGTCTGAAAATGATGATGTTCAACCCTGAGGTAGAGTACCTACCAGGAAAATACATGTTCCTTGCCGATCTGCTGTCTCGAAACTATATCCAGGATCCTGTTGAGGATGACCCGGAGATGGTGGAAGTAGTTCACGAAGTGACTGCCAATCTATCCATTGCTCCTGGGGTGATGGCTCAATTGAAAGTAGAGACGGAGAAGGATGTAGGGCTAAAATCAGTAAAGAACTACTATCAACGAGGGTGGCCCAAATCAAAGAATAGTTTAGTTCCTGAAGCGCTGCCATATTGGAGGCTTCAGAATGACATCTTTGTAGAAGACAGTCTGGTCATTTATGAGGACAAGGTGGTAGTGCCTCCGTCGCTCAGGATCAAAGTGCTAAATTCACTCCATGCTGCGCATCAAGGGGTTGAGAAAACTAAGGCTCGGGCTAGACAGGTTGTCTACTGGCCAGGCATATCAAATGACATTAAGACCTTGCTTGCAGAATGCAGAGTATGTGAGAGGTATAGTGCTGCTAATTTCAATGAACCATTGATTCCCCATAAGGTTCCAGAGTTGCGCTTTCAGAAAGTGAGTGCAGATATCCTTGAATTCCAGGGTCAACCTTTCCTTGTTGTGGTAGACAATTACTCAAAGTGGCTAGAGGTCAGGTTGCTGAGCAGTAAGTCTAGCAGCTCTGTGATTGCTGAGTTAAGAACCATTTTCTCAACACACGGAATACCTGAGGTCATCTTTGGGGACAACAATCCTATTAATTCTTATGAGTGTAGGTCGTATGCTGAGGGCATAGGCAGCTCTATCATAACTAGCTCACCGGAATACCCGCGCAGTAATGGCTTGGCGGAAAAAGGTGTGCACATAGCAAAACAGCTTTTGAAGAAATCTAGAGATAGTGGCACGCATTACCTGGATGCACTCAGAGAGTATAACAACACTCCGCTGACAGGGATGTCGTGGTCACCAGCTCAAATTCTGATGAGTCGCATGTGTCGCACAAGTGTGCCCACTAGACCACAGCAATTGGAGCCGAGAGTAGTGCAGCTCGGGGCAGTGCAGACTAACAGGCAGGCCAGAGTCAAAGAACAGCATGACAGGCGAGCCAGGAGAAAGCCTGTGGAATTCGCTGTCGGAGAAGCCATTGTGTTCTGGAGAAACAGAAAGTGGTACAAAGGGACTGTTGTGGAGAAGCTAAAGGCTCCAAGGTCTTATCTAATAAAGCAGTTGAGTGGGAGAGTATTGAGGCGTAATACCTGGCACTTGAGGAAATCTCGGACTAGGTCTGATAGGTTAGACGAACCTTCTGTTGTTGCATATGATTTTGAAACTCAAGACAGATCTCATGTGTTGCAGAGAGCTCAAACTCCGCCCAGGCAACAAGAACTGATGGAGAGGCAACATCAGCTGGATTGGAGTCCGCCCCATGGCAGGGAGCCTGAGCTGGATGTTAACCAAGGCCCTCATCATCAACCTCAACGGCGACGTCCGAGGGGTCCAAGACAGCGGCGAGGAGGTAGAGGACACCTTGCTGCCCCAGTTGCTCCAGTTGTTCACTGGACTAGGCGCGGTAGGCCTATTAGGCTGCCGGCTCGTTACCTTGAATAAGTCATGAGAAGTGACAAGTTATTTAGTGTGTTGTATCACTCAGTAAATGTTTTTGTTCGGTGCTCAGTGGGAATACTGTCACCTAGTGTGGTTCAATAAATGGTAAAGGTTGTTATCTACGTACATTGCACAGTTTGTTATTTTACATACCTCACACATCCTGTCAAAATATAACCTAACCAAACAATTGAAGGAGCTGAGGCTGAGGGGGGAGATGTTCTAGGTTGGCATTACTGCAACCTGCGAATAGGCTCGTTCCTCGCAGCTCACCCCCACCACCGTTACCCTACACTGTTATAAATATGAGTGCTCGCCAATAAACGTCCTCACTCTGTCACTGCTGTGTCCTACTCATTCACCCTGTCCACAACTACAACAACTTTGAAGAGGGAGCGGCTTGATGCGGCAGGGCCAGGCTAGGGCTCTGAGGCTAGCTCAAGTCTTCCTGATTTGAGAATGGACTGAGACCCCTTGCTGTAGACCAGCTCTTATTTTGCGAAAGTGAGAATTCCGCTGGGTTCCCCGACTCAAAATGACCGAAATGGTGAGAAAACTCTTAATTTGAAAGCCCAAGGTCGTCAGACTTACCAAAGCCGTGCCCCAAGACCCTATATAAAGGCAAAAAGCCAATTTTTTTTTTTTTTTGATTTTCACCAAACTAAGTTTGACTCTAAGGTAAACAGGCCATAATACGACCCTTTGGGCGAAAATTTCGTCCATTTTGCGATATCTCGACTCCTTCATGCCCAAACGGCCTCCCCAACCGCCCGCGCGGCGTCTTTTTTATGCTCGCGGTTTGGGAGGCCGTTTGGGCATGAAGGAGTCGAGATATCGCAAAACAGACGAAATTTTCGCCCGAAGGGCCGTATTATGGCCTGTTTACCTTAGAGTCAAACTTAGTTTGGTGAAAATCCGAAAAAAAAAATTGGCTTTTTGCCTTTATATAGGGTCTTGGGGCACGGCTTTGGTAAGTCTGACGACCTTGGGCTTTCAAATTAAGAGTTTTCTCACCATTTCGGTCATTTTGAGTCGGGGAGCCCAGCGGAATTCTCACTTTCGCAAAATGAGAGCTGGTCTACCCTTGCTGTGTCAACCCCTTATCAAGAGAGAGTGACTCAGTGATATCCAGCTTTTTGTGTTGATGTGAGTACCATTTTCCAATTGTCTCAGGAATCGCTGGCCAAACCAAAGTGATTCAATAGTTGGTCAGCGGCATTGACACGTAACCTGAAAATACAGATGCAGGTCTTGTATTTTACGGGCCCAGTTCTACTTTTCATAGTATAATTGCTGTGATTTGAACTGGGGATCCGAAGCACTGAAAACTATTGTATGCACATTTATTTTTCTGTGAACGGGTATTGCTTTCCAAGGCAAATTATTGCATTTCTTTTGCAGCGCCAGTTTTTGGCGTTCTGGTCTGTAATGCTCTGGAGAATGGAACGCCAAATTTTGGCGCTCTCTGTGGAACGCCAAAATTTGGCATGGAATCCGGAAACCAGGAATGAGAACGCCAAATTTTGGCGCTTTGAACGCCACTCCAGTGGCGAGGAAACTTGCCACTGGACGTGGAGTGCAACTATGCCGTTATCGAGTTATTACAGAGGAAGAGAGCACTGATAATGTGGTGCTCAACATGCAACAAGATAGCGAAAGAAGATTCTTGCGAGGAACACGACAACACTGATTTTCTAAGTGTAATAATGCACTTAATTAAAGAGCAATAACATTTTTATTGCACTAGTAGCGTCATGAAAGTTTAGTGCAATAATTAATGTATTGCATTAGCGAATTTATTGCTTTAGTAGCGTTGTTATCATTTTATCACACCAAAACTGTGATAATCTGGGCCCAGACCGGCCAAAACCTACGAGACTTATTGCATTTTTAATGTGATACACATTTTATTGCTGCCACAGATGCGATAATTTGAAGGAAGCACACTAGCCTTTTTATCGCAGCAAATTGTATGAAACTAATCACATTAGACATACCAGTGAATGCTATCAACTAATAGTTTCTTCACCCTGAATGGTTTCAGTCCAGTGAAGACAAAGTGGAGGAGGGGGAGATCAACAGCCCCGCTGCCCCCGCCGGCCGAGTGGCTACCCCCGCTGCCGCAGGGCACGCCCCCGGCACAGCCGCCTCTGCCTTCAGGGACACCGCCGCCCCAGCCCCCACTGCCCTTCAGGGCCGGCACGCCGAGGGAAGAGCCCGTGGTTTGGTATACTTTTCCGTCGCTGTCATTTCACGTTCCCTTAACTGCACTTCTGTTCATTAAAACTGCAAGTAACGGTTCGTGTGACGATAGGGTTGGACTTGTAACTAACCGTGTTGTTCCATGTGTTTCAGGATGAACCATAGAAGGAGAATACAGCCCCTGGGCTTCACACTCGCCTTCACGAACTTCGTCACCAGTTAAACCGCATTAATACCCTTTTCGAAATCTGGATAGATGTCCAAAGAAGATACGACTTCCTGAGAAGATTCTCTCCAAGTATACCTGATATCAAAACACTCCGAAACACTGCGGAACTCCCTCTTCGAACACCTTGTAATACAGAGACATCTCCATAGCAGCGACTGAAATAATATGCTTTTTCACTTTATTAAGGGGCTCATACATGTTAGAAGCACTTTGTAAATTTTGTTTAATGTAGACGCATCAAGATTTTACACTGGGTTAACACCCTTTCAGATAATTGAGTAACCTTCATTTTGGCTTGAAGTTAAGTGACTTCGGACGTTTTTTTGAAAATTAAGTCGAAACGTTTATAATTTTGGTTCTTGTAAGATTTTGTTCGCTTACTTGCTCAGATCTGTGGGGTGAAAATCAGGGAGACTCAACCCTAGCAGTGTCAAAGAAATGACTCGAATGGTCTTTTTTTGTCTGCGATTGTTTTTAAAAATAGAATAAGAACAATTTTTTGGACAATTTTTTAACAAATTTCCGAACAAAGTATTGTTTTTATTGGCTGAGCGATAGCGAAGCCCTTGCCGTGTTTGGGCGTGCTGAAAAGTGACTGGTCGTGCGTCTGTCTGTCTGTCTGTTTGTACTCACCAACGATTCTCAGCAACTACAGTGGCTATAGTTTCAAGATTTCGTATTTAACGTCGCCTTAGCACCCCCCAACACGAGTTTGTTTCAAATCGTTGTTTAGTATCGTTTAAAATATTCAAAACATATTTTTGAATCAGGTCATTAGCGTGGTTAGGTTGGCAGCGCCGCGCCGCTTACCAATTTCTCATACCTGCGGGTCCGCGGCTCTCAAATACGGGACATAAGCAAATAAGCAAATAAAACGAAATAAAGAGCAGAACGGTTTGGAAATGAGATCGGCCTTAATTTTTCAACATTCTAAAATGTTTAAAACCCTTTTGGAACACCAACACAGCGAAATATGGAGAATGGATTTGAGAATGATTTACGTGTTTCGTTCCCCTCTCCCCCCTCCACTGTCATAGGGGAATCATCTTCAGGTCAGTGCACTTTGACAAAGCATTGTAAAAGGAATGTTTTCATTTTGACCTTTTGTAATGTGTGCATCTTCTTATTTCATTTTCTCTAATGTCATCCTCTTTTTTAAATTTTCATAGTAAAGGAAATCAGGGAAATGCATAAATAACTTGTGTTGAAATTAGTGGGCATACTTATTTTAAACTCGAGAAATACATTCTATTGCAATGCTGCAAGCTGACAAGAATGCAAAAGTACTAACATGTGTTTATTAATAGAATCAATATATGGTTGTGTAAGTTTAATTCTAATAGAGTTTAAATTGATATTGGGTTCAAAGAGACGACTCACGTTTCACCAAAGTTAATATAACTGATACTTCTTAGTATTGGTTACATGAGTAAGATAAATTATGTCGGTTCATTAAGCCTTGGGTAGCCTTGGCATTGGTCTCTATGTGACGAAACACTGGATTTGACAATAATTGGTCCCCGCTAACTGGTTCAGATCAGCCTACCCTAAACTGACTCTCTCAATATTAACTGTGATAACATATTCCAATCAATATTGTTTTATTCACTGGTTCACAATGAAAGAATGACAAAATGTTTCATAAATATTACTTATAAAATTGTGAGTTCATAAGTTAAGAAAAAATAGTTATCGAATAGTGACCCAAGCATACGAGTAGCCAATAAAGCGATTGAATGCTGGCAATTGAATTTTACTCGACTGAGGGATTCGCTTTGGTGTGCCATCAGGGAATTGGTGACGACAGAGGGGGCTTCGTGAAGACAAATAGAAACAATATACAGAAATTGAGTCTAAAGTATTGTGTGTAGTTTTCAGTGTACCGGTCACAAAAACTACATTTATTTCAACGCCAATCCTACATTTTCATCTAGAGCTACGCAATTTGGGGCCAAACTTTCCAAGATGAGATTTATGTGTTTCCCTGTATTTTTCAGTGTGCTGACCTCAATATTGACCTCTAAATTGTCTCCTGACCCAAAATTTAACCAATTTTTGGTTAAATTTTTTAAAATTAATTGTACAGTGATTCTTGCAGTTTTTTGAGTGCTGATAACGAAAATCACTCCCATTTTAACACCAGACCTATATTTTCATCCCGTATTAGGTCATTTTGGACCAAAAATTTCAAGTCAAGTTTTATATTGTTTCCTGCAGTTTTTGGTGTGCTGAATTTAAAAAATGACTTCCAAAATTTTCCCAGACTAACATTGAACCGAATTTTGACCAATTTTGGACCAAAATTTTTAAATCGAGTTTGACATTGATCCCAGCAGTTTTTTGTGTGCTGATAACGAAAATCACTTTCATTTCGACTCCAGACTTATATTTTCATCCTAAATTAGGTCATTTTGGACCAAAATTTTCATGTCGAGTTTTATATTGTTTCCTGCAGTTTTTGGTGTGCTGAACTCAAAAATGACCTTCAAACTTTTCCCAGACTCACATTTAACCGAATTTTGACCAATTTTGGACCAAAATTTTTAAATGGAGTTTGACACTGATCCCAGCAGTTTTTGGTGTTCTGATATCGAAAATCACTTCCATTTGAACCCCTGGTCTAAAGTTAACTGAATATGAGCCCTTAAGATGGACATTTCGTCTACTCAAGTGCACATACTATGTCAATTTGCATCGCTCAGCCACACTACGCGCCCAGACTAAACGGCGCGTACCCCTAGTTTTATTTCTTGAAAACTCCAAGGTCGAACCGCGTTGCCGGCGCAGCGAAGAAGAGCTG